TTTTTCTCCCCTCCACCCTCTCCCCGAAAAAACCAACAACCTCTCTGCGTTTCCACCTCTCCTCTCTGGTGTTTGGTAGCTCCCTAACATAACGGCGAGTGGAGAGTTGCAGCTGTATTGGAGGCTGAGCCCTTTGTTTGTCAGGACGGTCGTGTTTATCTCGCTGGATAAACCAGGGATCTAATGGAAAATTGTCTCCTTGGGGATTGGCTGAAGATTTCTTAAATTCAGAGGTGTCTGGTTTCCTGGCGTGGCTTGCTAATCACCCCAGATATTCATAGCAGCGTTATGGTTTCTTGGTGCTGTGAGAGTTTATTCTGGTGTTGGTGCCTAAAGTGCTCTGCTTTCCAGAAAATAACTCTTCAGATTTAGCATCTTCGAGCATTAGAGCAGTACTCACAACTTGGAGAGGCACAGTGCAGTGATTTTGGGGTTAAAAAAAAAAAAGGGAGAAAGGAAAACCAACTTTAAAGGCCAATAGAGATGCTCCCACCTTACAAATAAATAGGCAATTTATTTTTAGGTAACATATAAATAGACAATAAGAAGTTTACTTAAAAAACTAGATGTTTTCTTTTGCAGTTTTCAGCTGTAGAGCATAAGAAGGCTGAAAATGGGAAATCCTTAAAGGAGAACGAAAGTAACTCAATCGTTGAGAGGGGACTAAAAAGCAGATACATAGCACCACTACCAAAAAATAAACAGGATAGAATTACTTACTGATTTTGGTTTTTAAATGCTTTGGAATCCATGAAAATGCGGTGTAGCTGCAGCTGGATTTTAATAGCTGTCTAAGCTATTGCGGAATGAAATAGTTCTTGATGGTATGGTGTCATGTGATGTAGTAATCACTGGTGGGTAGCGTAGGGGTGATCTCACAACTCTTTCTCCAGTGCTTTACTAGCTAGTTGTTAGTGGATAAAGTTAAAAAAATACAAAACTGACAATACTATTTTGTTTGTTTGCTTCCAGAAAACTGATTGGGAAGTAGCCATAAAGAGTATTAACAAAAAGAACTTGTCAAAGTCACAAATCCTGCTTGGAAAAGAAATAAAAATCTTAAAGGTATGTTAATTTGCAGTGATTTTTAAAGCTGCTTTACTTGAAAAGGAAAAAAGACTTTTGACCTAGTTCATTCCCGGTCATGGGTAGTATCACAGTAATCTCTGTTCTGCCATTTGTTTCTTTGTTAGTTCCAGGTGAAATTCAGAACTAAAAAGACCAAGAAAAAAAAAAAAAGAAAAAAAAAATACTTTTTTAGTTCTGGAAATGGTCTCAGAACAGGTTTTGGGCATGCTTTTGTAGTTAAAAGAGGACAACTGTTGCAGAACCAGTCTCTGTGCTTTGCTTATTGCACATGTAGAAAACTTTGTCCTTCAGGATGGCTAATGCGGCACCTTTCCCAAGCAGTGCATACAACAAAAGTCATAGCTGAGGGTAAAACATCAGTCTTTGATCTTTCTTCACTTTCTTTGCTCAAAGATGCTTTGAAAGCTAAAATCAGCATGTTGAGTTTGATTCCTGAAGCAGTCTTCCCACTTCTGATTTGTGTTAATTGACTTAGGTTGTGTAGTGTGGCTCTAATGAAGGAAGTAAAATGGAGCATCAATTTAGTTTTTCAATGCTATTTTATGGAAACACTTCCTTGGATGGTCTCTTAGCATTCTCTGCTCTCTGAACTTTATCACATCCCATTTTTCGTAGCTTTGCAGTAATAGTGCTGTTTTCTTTCCATGTTTCCAAGCTTCTTGAGATACATCACTATTTTATATACTAATATATACATATTGTGTTCTAGTATATTTATTACATACCAGCAATTGTAGTGTTGAGTATATTAGTGTTATACCCAACACTATATTAGCTGCAAGTACTTAGCAAAGATAGATGGTTTTTTGAGCAGTTAAAATAATAGCATGAGCTGTCCTGTGAGTTTTATTTGGTGTTATTTCATTTGATTTCCTTTTTAGTTGGTTACTCCTCTAAGCAAGAAATTGTGTGAGACTATAACACTAAGTGTTGTCAGTTTTCGGTACTCATTAAAGGATCTTGTGCTGTAGTACTTTCTGTAGGAAGACAGAAAATAAGTTCTGGAACCAAATGTTTTTATGACCTCTGAAGATATTGCCTAATTTCCTATTCCTGTAAATATTGTCTAAATAGCTAGGATTTCCTCCAAATTCCATCAGATGGTCTAAAAATCATGCTACCTTTCTTTGTAAAATTTGGTTCTCTTTGATTATCCTAGCATATTAAATTTAAAGTAATAATAACAACAGGCTATTTCCATAATGCAAATATGTTGTTTTACAGGAACTTCAGCATGAGAACATTGTAGCTCTGTATGATGTCCAGGTAAAATATATTTTGATGCCTTTTTCTTTGTTAAAATTTATTACGAAAATATAATACATATGTGTATGTATACTGAGTAGAAAATTTTGAATGGCTGTATGTTTTGTTGCTGTAATCAGTTTGGTATTTAGAAAAAGAAATCCAGTTCCTTAGCAGTGGCAGGGCAGTTCTCATCTTCAACACACTATGCACTTATTTTGTATTGCCTCTTTCTAACAAGCAGGGTGCACAGCAGGGCTAGAAAGCCATGAGGAATACGGTTTAGTTCTCTGGCTGCCACTTGCTTCTGCTGCCTGGAACCTCTGCAGAGCCTCTTTGTGTAGTTTGGTTCTGTGTCCAGAGAAAAAGCATCAGCTGGCTAGGCGCTCTGTCAGTGGCAGTAACTATTCTCTTGATTTAGCCTTGTTTCTCTTGCCCTATAATTTAGTTGGAAGGTGGGTGTTTGTGGATAACAGCTGAATACACCTGAAGGAAAACGTACTAGTAGGAGTTGATCTGAATGGATAAAGCAAGTGACGTTAAGAAGTCAACCTAACTTAAAATACTCTGTTGTAGAAAAGGAGCACCATCTTTGAGATCTCTATAACAAAGAAATGTATTGTATAGCCCTGTGTCATGGTGAGGAAGAACTGAAGGAAGTAGAAGCCCAGGATCACACATACATATATTGCTGTTGCCCATGTTCAAAAGGATAGGATGAAGTATAAAAGCCAAGCAGACATTTGGATCTTTTCAACTAGGAGAAATAAGTATTAAATTGCTTCAAATTGTCTTCCTCTTTTATTCCCAGGATTCTGCCTCATAAGATGAAGGAGTTAGCTTTCTAGCCTAGCTAGGGTAGTGTATTCTACTTAGTAGGAAGTATGATTTTTGTATCCTAAGGCCTGCAAGTGTTGGGTAAAGCTAAATATGACGTGATGTAGGTTATACAGCCATTTGTTCTGCTTGAATAAGAAATATACATTTATCTCCTGGGCTCAATTCTAATCTTAAATACAGAGTTACATTTATGAAAAAACCACTAAGAACTACCCTTGGGGCATTGCATATTTAAAGCAATGCAAAATACACGTTTTGACATTCTTCAGTGTTTTCTGTGTTTACACATTTGCATCCTAAAAGGTTTTTGGCTTACATGTAGGTGTATATCTCTGTAGCTATAGAAATCTGTGTTCACGTGATATACACTACACAGGCTCAGGTTTTATTGTGTGTAACGCTGTGGGACTACTTGTCTTGTACTAACTTCTGTGGACTTTTGGCACAAAGCAATGATGTTCATGTAGCAACAGACTATGCATCAAAACTTCCCATTTGGATGTGTAGACTCTTTTCCCTCCTGGGTCTTAACTTCAGAACTCTGCATTTTGAATGATACTAGCTGCTCTGAGAGGGAAAGTATAGTCTCGTTTACTTGTTGAAAAGACCAGGTTTTCCCGAGTATTTTTAAGTGGAAATAATCTCTCAGCGTCCTAAATTTAGTATATCCAGACGTCTTAAAAGAAACTGGAATTGTTGACTGAGGGCATTGGTGTGTAAGCAACTGAATTTCAGATTTATCATTTACAGTTGTTTATAAGTGAGGATTACTTACAAAGCTTTGCAGCTCAACCTGCAGTTGACTAGATGGGTATTTTGATGATTAAACTTTGTGTATCTTCTAAGCCTTGGAGAGGCTCTTGCTTCTTTTGATTTATGCACAGAACATCCACAAGGGAAGAGAGTACAGAGCTGTACACTTGTCTATGGTTTCTTTCCTAAAGGTTCTTCATAAACATAACTTTTATGCTTTGCTGTTCTGCTACAGGGAAGGGTGCCCTTAGAGTGACAGGACTTCTTGAATGATCAGTCCTGTACTTTCCATTTGAGAAGGGGATGTTCCTGGTTGTCACTGACTATTGCATTTAAATAAAATGAACAGTTAAAGCAAAGAGAAGGGAAAACTTGTGTCTCCTACCTTGGATATATTTCAAATACAGTCATGGCAAACATAAAGCTTGGCAGTATGATTCTACTTCTGTAGAAGAAATTGCTTTGCAAATATGGTCTAAAGAATGTGACACTTGCACAAATAAGATTTTCCCTTTCTGCACAGAGCTATGTTTGTGAAATATTATACATCATTAACTTGTACGATTATACTAATTTATAATCCAGCAAGAATGAACACTATGCAAGGCATTCACATGTCTAGTAGGCTATTACACCTACTAATTTTCTTTAGCATTTCATGTTCTAGCATGTACTGCCCTTTTTGTTTACCATAGTATTGTGAACATAGTGATATGGTACAGCAGATAACACTTCAGGATTTCAAGCAATTTTTAAGTTACAGAAGCTATTTTTTTTTTTTCCTCAGTGCTGGAGCCAGTGCAGTCTGTGTCACAGTAGGAAGTTCTCAGTGTGACTGAGAGTCTGTTTTATTTTTATAGTTCTGTTGGTCTGAAGTTTTTCTTAACCTTGGACAGTTTGAAATAAGAAAATACTCATGTTTCAGATGCACTGTTTGGCTGACTGTTTAGCTGATTGTTGTACCAAGTTTTCAGATAGAAAAGGTGGTGTGCAATGTAAGTGGCAAAACTAAGTGAAAAAAGTGTAAATTAATTGCAAAGAAGAATAAATATTTTTACATCTCGTAATAGTAAATGAAATTATTTGTACTTAATGGCACTACTTTGAGATTAAAGCTGTATCCCTGCATAACAATTCGGAATGTATCTTTGGAAATGAAAGGGTAGTTATTATTTTACGTATTGCAAAAGGCTTCATTTGGAATTGTTTTCGCAGGAGGTGGGTAGATTCCTTCTCTTTCATCTCTGTTCATTTATGGTTGTGTTACTGTTGCATGGTTTGTGACCAGATGCACAAGTCAGTGTAATAAAGATATATACACCATTAAGGTTTTAATTAGATCCAAGGAGAACTTGTAAGCCATTTTGCCGATAGTATGTGAACATTTTAAAACCTTCTACGTTGCTGTTGCTTCAGCTCCTGTGAACACCATTTTGGTATGTTACTTACTATGTATAGGGTCCACTGAATTAAATTACTAGAAATGCCCATTCATCTGGAAACACACCCAAATGAATTGGTGTGCCGTTAATGTTGTATGTGCGTTGGTCAGCATAAAAATCTTTTGTTCTGGTGCCAGCATGATAATTGCCCTTGATTTCCATAAGGTGGTTACGTGCAACACTGGCAGGTTTGATCTGCAGTTAAGCATTTTATGTAAGCAGAGCATACCATTGTTGTTTGTGCCATCTCAGAAGGCAGGGGATCTGCACATACCAGGGTGGGGAGACCAGTGGTTCTGAGACTGAAGGCTTTTGTGGAGATACTTAAATATGAGCTCTCCATCTGTGAGAGGCAAATGTTTTGCAGTAGTAGGGCTCGGAAAAATAAACATACGCAGCTCACCTCTAAGTGTGAAATTAATTTTCCCATGAAGTACGATGCTTAAAAACACCCAGAATATAATAGATGGATAGCAAGATGTGACCTGTTGAGACGTTTTTTTACTGATCTTCTTGGGCAAGAGTTTGGTAGTCTTCCATTCAAGAATAAAAAACTACTGAATCTCTAAAATGGTATAAGAATGCAGCTCTTTTCCCATGTTGGTGCCATGGGATGTCATTCATCCTGCAAAAGATCAGTCTTGGATCCCGTTAATTGGGGAAATGGAGCCCACTGTTTCTCAAAAGCAAAAGGAGTCTAAAATAACCTCTAACTCACCAGCATAAAGTACGTTGAGGTCCCTGGATAAAGTATTATACTGAAGTATGAAGGTATCAGTAAGTTATTTGGAATGTGCTATATTTAGGACATGAATTTACAGTTTTGTGCAGTTCATGATCCCAAGTGTGTGCTGAGTAGAACTGATCTCTTACACTGTGCCAGACAGGGCCTGTTTTAGCAAATAATTTAATTCAAAACCTCATTAGAATGTCAGCCGTCAGAATGAAAGCCTGTAATGTATCTTGGAGATAACATTTTAGAAGAATGAACTAACATCTTCACTGTATGGAGTCTGAAGTTTGCTGTTTCAACAGTGGTTTAGGGAGAACTAATTTCTAGTGTGTTATTGGAGAAACGGTATCTGAACAGAAATTGGTTCTTATCTTAGCTTGTTGGTATGCAGCAGACAAAATGACTGCAGCTGCTTCTGCTGTCCTTGAAAGTGGTGAAATCTAGTGGGAACAAAACCGGTGGTCCTTCTGGTAGCTACATCTCAGCCTTCATTTATACACAAGTGCCCATGAGTTCTTACTAGGGATGCTTATGGAAGGAACCGTATTTATCTATACCTGTTGTTTTACCAGTGGGAATTAAATATTGCTGTTTGGTTCACCCAAGGACTCCAGTTGGCCTGGTAGTATTGCATATATCTCTTGAGGCATTTGCTTCCAGCGTTGTGATACGTGCTCTTGATCTTGGTGTCTCACAGCTTTGATTGCCTCCATGCTCTCATCATAGCTGTTTCTGAACTGTCATCTTTTGAATGAGGCTGTCTCGATATCTTTAATTTTTCCCCCTCAGCTCCTTGATTAAGGCCTTTGTGTTTGTCAGTATCCATCCTCACTGTGCGTGGAAACAGTCATATGAAAACATGCCATTCAGACAAGTTTTCAGATAAAAAGAAAAATCCTGCTCTGTAGAAATTGTAAAGATTTCAAAATACTACCTGACAGCTGATGCCAGCTGGACGGTTGGCTACGACAATATTGGACTGCAAAGAATGACGCCAGTGTAGGCGTTGAAGGTTAGGGACAACCAGTTAGAATTTGTTTTGGCCCACAGAACCAAAGAGTTGGAGTTAGTGCACAGTCCTTAGCTTACCTGCTGTGCCCAGGTGCTGTAACTTGTATTTCAAAACTGTTTCAGAAGATCTAGTATGCGAGCGTGTTAAATGTTTGGTGTGCTGTCAACAGTTTTGCCTTTCCTTGGTGGTGTGCAGCAGGCCAGTCTCTTTCACTACCTCCCATATATATTAGTTAAGTACAGCATTTCACATAACAGAAAATGAGTGATATGGCTATTGTGGTACAATTCTCCATGGCTGATTGCTCTTTTATGTGAATAATTGGCAGCATGCAAGCTATTTGAATCCTACAGGCACATGTCAAGTGACATTTAGTCTGAGACTTAACAATTAGTCAGAACTAACAAAATGTTCAGTCCTTTAGATGCCAGGAGCTGAACATGTTAGAATCCACTGCTGTGGTGTGCTCGCAAAGCAAAATAAGACTATCTGCAATACAGTGAGAAACAACCTTAAAAAGACCTGGACCAGTCCTTTTTCACTAAACCATTAGAACTTTTGCCAAATGTATTTAATGCTCAGAAAAAAAAAAAAAGAAGAGTGTATTCCTGGCCCAAAAAAATTAAAGCAAATATAGCACAAATTAAAATATCGGAAAATTGATCAGGTAATAGCAGTGCACAAGCTGTCAGGTTAACTGTAGTGCTCTTGGGACTCTGATCATGAACTGCAGCTAGACAGAATCTACAGAGTTGGAGCAAAAACATAGTAACTCTTTATTTGCCACAATTTCTGCTTTGGCAGCTCATTAAGAGCTCCTTGCAGACTTTCAGCTTGTTCTAAAAGAGGACTTCCTAACCAAAGAGGAATCTAGGGTATGTTTCTGCCAATACGCCAGAGTTCTAGCAACAGCTGTCAGAAGTAACCATGGATGTTTTGACTTCTTTTTCAATTAATGTCTTTTAAATGGAACTACTGCGCTGAGCCTGTGATTTGGGTTGGAACTTCACATCCCCTGAGACAACTGTTGGAAGTCTGGAATTAAAACACAGCAAGTTTTGGCAAATACATTGCCTCTTAATCCACTTCTCTTAGGTTTATCTGTTAGCTTTCAGAATTGTAAAATGGTTTCCTATTAACCTTTGCTGTCTTTTACTTCAACTTGCAAGTAAGACCTAAATTCAGAATAAGAAGGAGCAAAAGTAGGTTTTTGTCAAGAAAAATTTAAGCAACAAAGCAAGACATGCTGGGCAAAAATGTTCCGTAATTCTTGCAACACAACATATATTTGTTTTGCTTGATTATTTTTCTAGGTAGAAGTGTAGACCAGAACAAGTCCAGCTGCAGTAATTTTATGATCTGTATATCAATGTAAATTTTTTAAAGCTTTGTTATCTATTTCAAAATTCAGCTTAAAATACCTTGCTAGGTCAGCTTTATTTGTGAATGTTAGATCTGAAATATGCTGGTTTACTAGTCTTTTTATTTTTAAGCGCTTTACTCTGCTTAGCAAGTCAGCAGAAATCAGGAGTCTAGGCAATGATGATAGGGATAGCTTTATTTTTCAGCAAAATAATTTAGAAGGGAAAAATGCGTCTACAGAATTGACTTGTGTTTTCTGAACATATTCCCAAAATGAAGATCACATTCCCAGTCAGACTGGCCAAGAACTGTAACGCAAAATTTGAGCAACTGTGAAGGGATGAACAATTTCAGCTGTTTTGAACTAAAGCTTGCGTTGGTGGGATATTGAGAAGTGTTTGGTTATGAGTTAAAGTTGGGATGAGATGCGCCTGGTGAGCTTGGTACCAGTACTGTGCAAAATATTACTTCTGCAATGTGAATTAGGTAGGACTTTTGACCAGCCTGGGAAAATCTCTTTGTGAAACCTCTAATCTGTTCTGCTGATTTAATAAAAAAGGATTATCCAAGCTACAATAAGGAAACACACTCTGCTTCTTACTATGACTTTAACCCAGTGCCTTGTTTAATTATTTTTGATCAAGAATATCAGTCAAAAAAAGATGAGTAATGCTATTTGAGGGAAATCTAGTGTAGTCTGTAGGAATGACTTTCTTCAAACAGGTGAGGGCTAGTACAACAGGACAAATCGTCAACTCAGTGTTTCTGAAGAGAGCAGTTTTATTTGAAAGGACTTTGTTTCCAAGGGAATCCAGAAAACACATTCTCTTAGTTCTGTGATGAATAAATGTCTGTTATGAGCTGAGCATTACATACTGCCATAAGCTGCTGTTTTGTACAGAGTGTGTTGTGTAGTGGAGGCATTGACGTTGTGGAACATCTATTTCTGATTCATGGGAATGCTATGTTCGGGTGGAAATCCACTAGCTGAGCTTCTTTCTTGTCACTGGAGAACAGGCAGTTTCCATGCTTCTTAGCTGTTTTATTCTTTTACACATCCCAGTTGTCCTCTAAGTGAAGTGATCCTCAGTTAGAAGAATTTTCAGTTTGATAAACTGGGACCTCAGAGTTGCTGTTTGGCATCCTTGGGGTTCTTGAAAGAAGGAGAGTTTCTGTCTTGCGAGATGTTGTTGCAAAGGAACAGTGTAGAAAGCAACAACACTTATAATTTTGTATTTTCAGTAAGTTGCAGAGCAAGTAATTACTCATCTTTTTTGGCTTTAATGTATGCACCTGGGTTTTGAGGCGTTTATAGGATTGCAAATTATGGTTCATGTTGGCCACAACTGTTACAGAAACACTGAACAATTGGGACTTCCTGAAATGTGATCTACTGCTGCTTTAATATTCTATATTGGTTGGAGTTTCCTTTTCATTCCCAACAGATATGACTAATGTTCCTAGAAACTTGCTTTTTTTGAAGCTAATTTCCAAATGTAAACAAATCTGTAATGTGCCTGATGTTCTGAGCTGGGAAGAAACTCAAATGCATTTCCGTAACACAGAGGAGAGTGGCTAAACTAAATGCTTGCATAAAGTGAAGCAGCCTAATACAATCTTGAATTAACCTTAAAACATCCAGTTCATCTTGAACTGTACTTACTACAGTTATCGGTAGTGGAAATCTGTATCTGTGATGGATTGGTAGAAATTGGCTTTACGGGGTTGTGCCATCCATGTGCTCTGTGCTGTGTGTGATATTCAGGGTGGTTGGTGTCCCTAGCCTGAGCCCATGGGCCCATTTTTAGTTTATTTTTCTTTTTAAAGCTTCTTAGCCTGACCTGTTATCAAGCCCTTGAAAATGGCACGCTTGTGGTAGTTCTTGCCAGTATGGTCAAATTGAACATGTGCTGAAGTTTTAATATAAGCACTGAGAAAGGTGGCTAAGTTCAGAGCTTTTGTTTTGCCATCCAATGTCCCTTTTGACTTTTTTTTAACAGTAGTTAGCAGAATGCAGTTGGACTGTCCACAGTTCCACTTCCAGCTGGGACATTTGCCTGGCCTTGTCTGCTATGCCATCTTGCTCTTTTCCATCAACTGTCTTAAAAACTTATTTGGCCGCAAACTGTCAACCTTTGTTTATTTTTAAGGTGAAAGGGAGGTAACGGTGTGTGTAACTATAACTATCATCCTGTTTAGTGTATACTTGCCTTCTATTTCCTTCTGCTTCTCTTTGTGTTCTTTCAGTCTTAGTCAGGTCAGAGGGGAAAAAAGGCCTTTACTTTATAAAAGATCTCTGAGTGTCTTCAACTTTGTAGGCACAACATAACTATTTTATGCAGGAAACTTTGTGGAAAACAATGTTGATTGTTGGCACACACAGGTAGGCTCATTCTTCCCTCACACAAAATAAATACTTGTAAAAAAGATTAATGTTCTTGTTACGGTTGGGCTTAGGTGCAGACATTTTTACTGCATTTTTGTGGAGTGTGTAGATGATTTACAGTAGAAGTTAGCTAATCTGTCTTTCAGTAACTTTTACCCAGTTACAAGAGGGGGAATTCAGGTTGCGGATGGGTCAGAGGAGGTCAGTGCTTTGGCAGATCTCGATAGGACTGCCGTAACAAATCACACCTTTGCCATAAGGCATTTAGGTCCATGGCAGGGACATGCTTCTGCCAGTGACTTGCTGAGGGAGGTACTTTATAGAAGTATGCATGATTCCTGAAATAATTAATCTACAGAATAGCGTTTGGGAATCAGTTTATTCCAGACAGTTAACTGCTCTGTGATCTCTGACTGACCTTTGGCTTGTCAGATGGCAGATCCAAAGCTTGTTTTACCTGGAAGTGGGAAACATAACTTTGGAATTCCTTAGAAAACTGGTTGTCATAGCCAAATTGTCTTGCTTAGAGTTTGTAATTCTATCCAGTATATTTGCGACTAAATATTACTGTCCCATTAGTGACTGATTCCAGTGATGTCTGACAGCAAAAGTTTATTTTGTTGTAGGGGCTCTTAACATAGAGGTTGTGTTGATAGAGCAGTCCAAGGCAGTTGAAAGCTAAGGGAGCAACATACAGTGGAAACTGATGTTACTTGGTGTATGATTATGATGCTCTTTCAAATGATAGCTTTAGTCTTCAGGATATTGCCTGGTGATTTTTTTACATATACTAATGCTTTTGAAAATGTGAAATACTTAATGGTTAGGAATGTACATATTTGCTACCCTTTAAAACAGTGACTTTAACATAAGGTGTCTCAGTTGAGTGAAAAATCTGTGTTGCACTTGGTTAATTCAGGTACTGAAGGCTTTGTCTTGTCACATTCTTAAATGGGATTTGTTCTCCTTCTCTTTTAGGAAATGCCCAATTCTGTCTTTTTGGTAATGGAGGTATGTGTTAACATTTATTTTTCTTTCTGCCTGATTTTAAAGATGATTTTTAGACAAAACTCCTTCTTTAAACAGCTGCAAAATAACCATGACCTCTTAAAGCAAACAGTTCTGAAAACTAGATTATTAATTTCCTATGCACTATCAAATTTATCAACAGTGTTTGTTCCATAAATTATTCAGTTTCATTTTATGATACTGTAAGTATCAATGAAGTGTTAGACCTCGAATTATTAATTACAAAGAAGTGACAAAACAATTTTAAGGCAAACAGCTGGAAAGGAACTTTTAATTTTTGTGAAAAGATTACAAAGTAAAAATTATATAGCAAGTATATCAGTGCTTGTGTTTTGAATAAAAACCTTTCTTTTCAACAGTACTGCAATGGTGGGGATTTGGCAGATTACTTACAAGGTAATTGATTACTGTATTTCCCTATTAAGAAGCCATTACATTACACGTTTATATTCTGTATTCCTGTAATCCATTGGTCTTTCTCAGAGATTTTTTTTTTTTTCGCTTGTGGTTTAATATTTTTCTGTTTGAAGAATGCCTGTCATTCCACAATGCATGTTCACCCTGGTGTGATTTTAGAGTGTCCTCTTTATAAGAGTCATTGAATTCACCAAGAATCTGTTTAGTGTTGTATTCTGTCTTCAGTCAAGGTCAGCAGCAGAGTGCTGTTTGTTGTGTGTTTGTATGCCACCCTGGGAATTTGAAAACTAAACTTTGAAGCTGCAGGGAGACATAAGGTTTTGCATTTGTTTAAAAATATTTCACAGTGTTTTTAGATGACACTCATAATTGAAGATAAAACCCAAAAAGTAGCAATGAAGGTGAATAAAACAACACACAGACAGAAAATGTTTTTTGCCACTGCTTTCAAAACAGTTAAATGTAACATTCCCTTATTTGTAAATGAGGGATAAGATGTAGCTAACCTAACTAGCATGCTGAAAAATGTGTGGTTTTCTATTTCTAAAGTCTTATTTTGGGGGCTACTTCCAGTGTCTTGATTCCACCTGCTTTCCTTTTCCAAGATGTGAACTTAAAAATACTAAATTACTTATATAATAATGCCTTCTACAAAGAGGCAATTCTGGCTTAGGAGAGATTTTTACCCTTCAGCATGGCTCTGCCTAAAGTGAAGGCGGAAGTTACAGAATCATCACAAATAGATTCTTATTACAAACAGAATTTTGAGCAGAGATGTTAATTTGCATCTTTTTCTTGATGAAAATATTCTTCTACTTGCCTTTGTATCTCAGTTTGTTGAAGGAATCTTTTTGTGAGCAGCTATTGTTATGGTAACTGTGTATATTAAAAGCCTAATTCACTTCCCATTAAAATCCTTGGAAAGATTCATACAGTATAATCCAGCTCTTGCATTCAGTACTTTTTCAGACTGCAGAATGAGATAATACCTTCTGGAGAGACTTTCAAAAGTATATCTTATTTTTTCCCTTCGAAGTAAATTTTATTATGGGTGAAATTTTTGAGCTGAGTGGTTATTTGCATTCCCATAGTAATTTGTTTAAAAAACAGGTGTTACAGCTTCAGGCTGTAACATGATTATAGATATATTTAATGTTCTAAACTGTGAAGCTCCTCTATTTTCCTGGCTCCTTTGCCTTTTTAGGGAGTTTAGGATTTAATGGTGATTTAGAAGTTTTATTATGCTACAGAGTTGAATAAACTACTGTAAAAACTAGATGATCTTTAAGGTCCCTTCCAACCAAACCATTCTATGAAAACAGATAATCCAGAGTACTGTAGCTCATGTAAAAGTATGGAGATGTATATGTTGTTAAGAGTATATACATTTGTAGAGAAATACTGAAGATTGGATTGTTCTGAATGTAATTCACTATTATTTGATTGTCTTCTATTCACAGTTGATCACTGTGAAGTTTATTGCTTTTTTACCCAAAGATAATGGTATTTATTTTCTCATCTGCTAATGTCTATGTTATTTCCAGCTAAAGGAACTCTTAGTGAAGATACCATCCGAGTGTTCCTCCAGCAGATTGCAGCAGCCATGCGCATTCTGCACAGTAAAGGAATCATTCATAGGGATCTTAAACCACAGAATATTTTGTTGTCTTACACCAGTCGTAGGAAGTCAAGTGTCAGTGGCATACGCATCAAAATAGGTAAATACGCCTTTCTCTGATCTAAAGGTAAATCATCACTGTTGGATTGTTTCCCTACTCAGAAGTGTCTTTGTAGTTAAAATGCAGAGGGTGTACTGGATATGGTGTCTATTAAATTGATGCAAATCAGACAGTAAGTCTAGAACAATAAGCTTTATGCTGTAATGCAGATTCTCAGTATAAAAAAGATTGAGTCATAAAGACCTTTTTGATTAAATCTGCAGGAAAAAGAAACACATTTAGCTGATGTTTCTAGTATTAAACTATTTTAATTGGACATAAATCTGTAACCTTTGAAACTTCAAATAGCTTTTAGCCCATTTCAAAGCTGTGTGCATGTGAGACTCCAGTCGCAGTTCCAGCTGGGTTGGTTTTTTTTGTGGTAGAGCCTCCTAAAGGCTATTTAAGAAGTTTAGAAATGTAGGTTATGACCTGGTTTTGGCAGAAGGAGGTTGGCATTGTAACTGGGGAGAGATGTCAACTGTTCAGGATACTATCAAACTCCTCTTCAGAGGACACTTCAGGAGTTTTAATCTCTCGTTGTTGTCTGTTATGTGTCCATTTAAAAATACCTTGTTTTTAACAAGTTTCTTTTCTATGCTTTTGCTCTGCCAAAATCAGAGATATGTTCCAAAGCACTACATCTTCTAAACAGCACAAAGGAGACAAAACTTCTTCTCTTGCTGTCCTTACTTGATAGTTTCAGATGCTTTTGCCTACATGGAAAATTCAGGCATCTGAAACTTGACGACTTAAACTTCTACCTGATGTGATTTCATTGAAGCAGATTGTATATTCGTCACGTTTAATGAACCATTTATATTTAGCCACTGAATGTAAT